TCTGTATTCTATTCTTCTTTTAATTTTAATCCTAACACTCCAGCACACAGTCTTACAAATACTTTGTCATACTTACCCCTTTAAAATAGTTTCCCAATGTCATATTTAAGTAGTATTTGGCACTCAGATGATACCTGGCTGGTATTTGCTTTTGTTGAAAGAATAAATGTTAAATGTTTTTACAACATCAATTTACAAAACTGTATTTCATATCCTCTCTAGAACCCTATCATGAAACATGAAATGTATTAGTGCCAAAAATAACTTTGAAATGTGAGAAAGACTGAATATACTCCTACTCTATCATTGAAAATGTCCCTTAAAATATTAAGATAATACCAAAATTAGGCAACTAAAACATAAAAGGAGAAAAGGCAATTCAAATCAGTCATGGTCCTTTTCTTTAAAAATAAGCAGAATCACATGCATCACGTAGATTTTGGTTAATGGTACATGTTACTACAAAAAATATCTTACATAAATCTACGTACACCTATAAGAATAATTAACACAAGATAAAAACTAATATTGCAGCCATACCTATGTATAAAAAAATTCTTATTTAAAGGAGCCTCTCACTCAAGAGGGAAAAAAAAAGGCTTGGTATTTATGTATATGTTATACCAAAGCAAGAAACCAAAAAGAATTCCCAGAAGAATAATTTACCAAATTCTGTTAATGACTTTTACACACACACACACACACACACACAAACACACAGTGTTTCACAAAAACATAGATCTTGGTATAAAGGCTTATTCAACACTTAACCAACATTTAGCAAGCATATATTATGTGCCAGGCACAGTTCTGGGGAACTCAGAACACATTGATGAACAAAATACACAAAAATCCTTGCCCTTAGAAAGGTGACATTCTCCTAGGATAAAATCTAAATAATAAAATAGGACAGGTTCCCACAAATTTCTTATATGCTAAGATAACATAAACATTCAGATAAACACAATGGTGCCAGGACGGGGAAGCAAAGCTAACAAACTTCTAAGAAAAAAAAGAAAAAGAAAGAAAATCTGAAAAGCCAAAAGCAAAAGTCAGACACAGTTAAGGGATGAAAAACTACACGTAATAATTTAATATTCCAATCAAATTATAAAAAGTAAAACATTATTTACAAAAACTATAATGAACTTGACAATAGTTCAGAAGCTAATCTGTGGTTCTGTAGGAAGTCAATATGAAGCCTAGTGGGTATAAGAATGGTTTTTGTGATATTAAAGGCAAGGGCATGAATTCTAGTCCTGCCAGTTACTAACAGTGAGACCCACAGTTTCTTCATCCATAAGACAAACAATAATACCCCACATGACTGTTACAAGGATTAAATGAAAACCAAAAACAGAAAGCAAATCAAATATCCAGATGGATGGATGAATATATCAACTCACTAGAATACTATTCAGTAATAAAAAGGAATGGACTGATACATGTAACAAGGATGAATCTTTAATGCATCATGCTGAGCAAAAGAAGCCGTACACAAGAGTATATGAAATCCATTTAAATGAAATTCTAGACAAAACAATACTAATCTAGAGGGAGAGAAAGCAAATGAGTAGTTGCTTAGAACTACTAGTGGAGAGGGACTGACTTGCAAAGAAGCACGAGGGAACTTCTTGGGTATTTGAAATGTTGTTTTATCTTGATTGTGGTGGCATTTCCTTGGGTGTACACTTTTGTCAAAACCCATCAAACGCTATGCTTTAAATGAACACATTTTATTGCACAAAAATTATACCTCAAAAAAGTGGATTTTTAAAAAGGATTAAATGAAATAGTATGTAAAGTTCTTAACACATTATCTGGGACACAGAAGTATTAAAAAAAAATGGTATTATCAAAAACATCAACTACCACTATACAACACTCTGGGTGAGGTGGCAGAATCACCAATCACCTGATCTCTCTGGTTGCTTAAATTCGAAATAAACATACGTTTACAGTATCTGACCTAAACCAAGTGCAATGAGGAGCACTACAGAGATCAAGTTTAGGAGGATGCCAACTGGCAGACCTTGGGCAAAAGACAAAGAAAATAAGGAAAGGGAAGAGAAGATGGCTGCATTTCCAAAAGAAAACAAAGAGCTAAAAGAATGAGAGTGCTATCAATGCCAAAGAACACCTAAATTATCTCACCTAAGTATTATCAAAATGTAACTCAAAACTGAGTCAATGACTATATAAACTAAGTCTAATAACAATCCTATACATACAGTCCTTAATTTTACTGGGGGGCAGGAAGAGGGGTAAGATCCATGAAGGTGGTTCAAGTGAAGTTAAAGGATTCTGTCAACCAAACAGGAAGGGAGGCCATACTGTGGACAGTTTAGAAATACAAAGCAGCAACTATAAATCCACAAGCCAAGGTTGGTTTTTTTTTTTTTTTTACAAGTCTACATGATTAAAAAACATACTTAGGAAAGTAATTAAAACATGTTGTTGATAATGGAAGTTGAATTGAAATACAACTCAAGGGCGCCTGGGTGGCTCAGTTGGTTAAGTGACTGCCTTCGGCTCAGGTCATGATCCTGGAGTCCCGGGATCGAGTCCCACATCAGGCTCCCTGCTCAGCAGGGAGTCTGCTTTTCCCTCTGACCCTCTTCCCTCTCGTGCTCTCTATCTCTCATTCTCTCTCTCTCGAATAAATAAAAATCTTAAAAAAAAAAAGATACAACTCAAGTGAAACACAAAACATTTATGAGATTTATATTTTACTGCTGCTTAGAACTGTTGATCAAAGAAGAGTATTTTTTTGAAGAACAAATAATTCTGCTGAATAACAGAAACCCTGTAAATAAGACCAGAAGAACTGAATCGGCTGTCACTCATGAAAGCACAAGGCTTCTGACTTACCTGTTAACTTAAAAGATGAAAAGAAAAAACTAACACCCCAACTGGACATTCTGGGAAGCAAAAGACTTTAGACTATAAATCTCAACTGTCAGGGTTTGTTTAGTTTTGTTTTGATTTTAAGTACCTCCACTTATAACACTGAAGAGGTAGAAAGGACAGGACAAAGAGTCAGAAGTCCTGGGTTTCAACTCTAGTTCCACCAGAAGTTGGATTTCTTCTTCCCTAAAATTGGGCAGCTGAAAGCAGGGTACTGAAAATAATCCAATATAATCTAATTTCCAATCTCTAGAGGGAAACCACAACTCCTACTGAAAAAGTTAATAGTGAAAGGGTTAAACATTTATTTTTAAAACATCATTAAAAAAATAACTAAACTGTAAGTTTTCTTCCTGAATTCAGATAAAATACCAAGATATATGTGGCAAACTAAGGACCTAAAGCAATAAGTATATTGCTGATCAACGTTCACAAAAAGCAATTTATCTTCCAGGGACTAACTGTTCATTCTAGAACACGTTTCCTGATTTCAGTCCTTCCCAAACCAAAATAACTGGATCCAAGTAATTACACACGCTGTTGATCCTCATAAGCTACCTCTCCTTTTGTATCAAAACCCATAAAATAATATTAACAGAAATTTAACTTTGTGTTTTAAAGTTCAATTCAATTAATTCTCATACGTACTACAACTTTCTTATCTTAATTATCGTTCCTGTGGAAAACTGAGCTAAGTTAGAAATAAACTTTAAAAACAAAAAGAATGTTCTCATATGACTTAGATCTAAATCCACTGCAAATGTTTTCTTTTTTGGGGGGGGGTTCATCTTATTATTTGAAAAGCTGAATACTGAATGTTCATCCCGATACCACTGCCATATTCATTTTCTACTTAAAGTGCAAGACTTTCAAATAACCAAAAACCAAAGAGAAATGTGATTAAATCACAGCAGAAAGTAGTAATAACAGGGTAATATAATGAGGTCAGAACTGGCACAGCCAATCAAAGGCATAAAAGCATTTCCTGCAATATTAATAGTCGAAAGAGAAAACCAATCACAGAAACCTCGAGCCTTCTTCTGACAGTCACAGAAGCAAGAGAACCAATCCACGCACACCCAGGGTTGACAATAAGGCGGGACCGCAGGTTCATTGAAGAAATTCTTGAGGGTGCAGTTACTACGAAGTTCGCAAGCAAGTAACACCACTCCAGAGTCATAAACACAGTCAAGCGAGATAAAATTTATCCGGATGCAAAATCCCGTCAGGGAGAAAAGCAGAATTTTTACAGAAAGCGCTGTATTATCAAAAAACGTAACTGTCACCTTAGATGCATTAAATCCTCAACTTCTAGAAGACCCTCCTCTCCGATGACAATTCTCGGGGATACGGCACGGGAACGGGGCAACGCCAGCAGCTCAGTGCTGAACATCCCTGTTTGCTCTCTAACGCTGAGCGCCGAGTGGGCGCCTTCCCGGCCAGGCGGGCAGCGCCGTCCCTCTCGCGGCCGTGGAGCTAGCCGGTCAACGGCTCTCTACCGCTACACCCCACTGGGTAGTCCCGGCCCCCGCCCTCCCCCGCCGCAGTGCTGCACCGCCTCATCCCGCTGCACCACCGCCGGCTCGAGAGCGAGGTTTACCTTGCTAGGAGGAAGATGTTTGTTTTGAACGCGTTTTACTTTCCATAAGTCACTTCAAAGAGAACCCAACGCAAAACTAAATTTGAAAGTGGGGGGAAAAAAATCTTTCCTAGCCAAAGGATCCCTTGCCCATTAACCCCGCGCCGGAGAGAGGTTGGGAGGAGGGGGGGAGGTAAACAGAGGCCGTACGCCAAGTGCGGCCAGAACATCCCCTGCGCCATTCCCGGCCGCCGCTTACGGCAAGGCCCCCTTACGGCAGCGTAAGCGGCGCTGCGAACTAATCACAACACTGGGACGCAACAACATGGCGGCCGCGGGCGGGCGCTGCGCCGGCCGAAAGGGTTTACGCTACTCCGCCGGCGTAGGGTCCCATGCGTTGGAACGGCAGAGGCGCCCTCCAGCGAGCGTAAAGCGCTCTGTGAATGGCGAGGCCCGACTGACAAAGGGGAGGGGGGAGGAGGGAAGGGGGGGTAATAAACACTCGAGTCCCTACCGATTCCTCCTCCTTCTCCATCCCGGTGGGCATCTGGGGCACGGCCCGGTTGATGGAGACGCAGTCGTTGAGATCAGGCATGTCCTTGCCGCGGTAGATAGGCAGCGGTTTGGCGGCGTCCAGCGCCCGCGCTCGGAAGGAGAGTTTACTCATTGTCTCCCCGCCTTACAGGAACAGCCCGGGCGGCGGCGGCGGGGCGGGCGGGGAGGGGGGGAGGACTCCCGCCGCCTCCTCCACCTCCTTCCTCAGTGCAGCGCGGCCGGCCCGCTCCTCCTCCTCCTCCTCACTGCCCCCGGCCACAGCATGGGCGCCCACCCCGCCCGAAAACAGCCCCCCGCCGCCCGCGGCCGCTTCCACACACTAGATCCGCCGCTCGCCCGCCCGATCCGCTCCCTGCGCCATGGCCAACATGGCGGACATTACCACAGCGGCGGCGAGCGATCCCGGCAGCCCGCGCGAGAGCGCGCCCCCGCCGCGGGGACGCGCCTCGCCCTCTCCCTCCCTCCCTCCTTCCTCTCCCTTCCCCTCCCTCGCCTGCCCACCCACTCTCTCCGCTGCGCGGCCGGCCCGCGGGAGCGTGCTCAGCCTCCGGCCGCTCAGGGGAGAGGGGGCGGCGGCGGCCTTCGGCTTGCCGGCCCGCGTCTAGCCTGTGGCAGGTGCCAGGTGCGCAAGTTAACCCGTGCCCCAGAGCGTGCGCCTCTGCCTCCGCGGCCCCGACCCGCCGCTCGCTGGGTGCCCCGAAGGAAAGAGCTGGGTAAAAGACGACCGCGCAGAACAGCGCGTGTCTGCAGAGGTCCGTGAGCGGGAAAGGAAGATGTCAACCAGGGCACAACAGCCACCACCGAGCCTGTACTTAGAAAGCGCTATCTCCACGGTGTCCCGAAAGCCGGCTAATTCGCATCCTCCAATTCGCACATCCCGGGGAGGTGCGAAAGGTCCATTCCATCTGCCCACTCAGAGCGGCGCAGATCTGCCGCTCCCGCCCGCCCCGAAAACCGTCATGCAGCCCCAGCCCTCCACCCTGCATCCTCTCTTCAGTACCTGCCCCAGAGAGCTCTTCGTGGTAATGCATCTTCACTAATCGTCGCCTTCTCCGGGAAGATGCTTATGGCAGCAGTGAGGGTTAATGTTTGAGGCTGCCGGATGCAACAAGTGCCCTTGAACCTGTCACCCAAACTTCTTAGAGTTATTTAATGGATGGGAGATACTTCTCTGATTTCAAAAACAGAGTTCTTAAGAGTTAAACTTATAAAAGTTAACCAAGGCAGCACACATTTCTGAAGTGGCAGGTGTGTGTAAAATATTGGGTATTGTGGAAGAGGCAAAGAAGTTTGAAATTAAGTTCCTGCCCTCATGGAGCTTTCACGTTAATGGGATGACAGGATGGTTGTAAAGATGAGTAACAATAAGAGAGGTAAGTAGTTGAAGAACTGGGCAACAGGAAAGATAAATGATGGGAAAAAATTAAAAAGTGTAAATACTCAGGGTGCCTGGCTAGCTCCGTCGGTTGAGCATAGGACTCTTGATTTTGGCTGAGGTCATGGTCTGAGGGTGGTGAGATCCAGCCCCATCTTGGGCCCATCTTGGGCTCCTACCCCCCAACCGAGCCCTCTTGGGATTCTCTCTCTGCTCCCCCACCCTGCTTGTGCACACTCACTGTCTCTCTTAAAAAAAAAAAAGTGTAAATATTTTACACAGGAGATGACACATGGCCGGAGAACATGATTAGTTACCAAATGAGTTGTACAGGCAATAATTGCCATAAGAGATCAGAGAAAAGAGACATTACCTTAGCTTGAACTGGTTAGAGAGAGTTCTAAAGAGGAGAAATGAAGTAGACTCAGATTTAAAAAGTATCAAGACTATTGTTGACATCAACTTTGGTTAGCCAAGAGTTTCTTGGTTAGTCTTTAAGCATTACAGCTTTTGTACAAAATCCCTAGGAAAAGTGTAACACATTTTACCATTTTCTTTTTTTTTCTAGGAAGTCTTTGTCTGTTACAAGTAATTATTTTTGTGGTTAGCCCAAATGATTTTATAAATTTCATAATTTTTATATGTCTGACTGGTATCCATGAAATATCAAAAGTGCAATCCCCATCCAAAAAACCAAATGGATGTACTGAAAGGCTCTGATTAAATTGATTATTTTCAGGGGCGCCTGGGTGGCTCGGTTGTTAAGCGTCTGCTTAGGTCAGGTCATGATCCCAGGGTCCTGGGATAGAGCCCCACATTGGGCTCTCTGCTCAGTGGGAAGCCCGCTTCTCCCTCTCCCATTCCCCCTGCTCATGTTCCCTCTCGTGCTGTGTCTCTCTCTGTCAAATAAATAAATAAAATCTTAAAAAAAAGAAATAAATTGATTATTTTCAGGAATAAAAGTAACTATATCCTCTTTCACTAATGGTGGTTTGGTTTGGTAAAATTTTTATATTTTTAATGATTTTTGGTTTTCCATGATGTTTTCTTAGGCAACATTCCACCAAATTACAGCTTTCCAAAAGTTGTAGTTTCTTCTATAATTCTTTTTTAAATTTTTTATTGTTATGTTAATCACCATACATTACATCATTAGTTTTTGATGTAGTGTTCCATGATTCATTGTTTGTGCATAACACCTAGTGCTCCATGCAGGATGTGCCCTCTTTAGTATGGTATCATTTTCATTTTAAAACCAGAATCAGGCTGAATGTAGCTTTCTTTTTGAATCTAAAATTTATGCTAAATTTTAATCTAAAATTTGACACTGATACCCTAGTGTCCCATTACCTTTAATCAGAAGTAATAACACTCTTGTTGAAAAGTAAATTATCAAACAATGAAACTTAAGGTTGTAGTAAAAGTGAAAAAAAGGAAAGGAAAAAAACCCTTGTCTTTTTTATTAAGGCTTTATGGAATAGAATTTGTATTTAATCAGAATGACTAAGGACCCTTTTTTGGTGATGAAAGCAAAAGAAGCAAGTCAAATTGTTAGATCTCTTGTTTTTTTGTCATCTACTTATATTGCAACCACAACTACGTATATTGCATTAATATGAAATACATTTGAAATACATAATTTTTTTTAAATGGAACCTATACAAAAATCACATATTGTTGGATAGGATGTTGAAATGACTGGTGTGTAATATTTTTTAAAACCTTCATTTTTGGTCAGCACAAATTTCATTTAATTTTCATTTCCAGTAGGATTTCATTTTGAGGTTTAATGTGTATGAAGCCAGTATAAAATTTTACAGTGTAGTGATTCTGGATTCCAAGTCAATATTCTGTTTGGCTCAGAGAAAAGTAGGTGGTTAGCTGAATTCCAGAGTGAAAGAATTGATATCTACAGTCATTTCTATATGGCATCAAAACTATCTCTTCCTCCATTACCTCCCCCTCATTTCCTTGTTCCCCTCTCCCTTTTTCCTCTTTTTCCTCCTCTCTTTTCTCCCCACCTCCCCCTTTGAAGGCAAAATGGTGGATATGGGCTTTATGACACTGTCTACATAGTCTAACACATTTGGTCCAGCAAGACTTCGAGCGCTGTTTAGCAAAGCTTAAGTGTTTCCCATCCACTTTGTTGTTGGAAACAATGGAGGTGCTGTGACTCACTTCTTGTAGGCAATACCTTTCCCAAACTAATGGGGATGTCCTGCTCTGAATACTACCCTCTGGAGCAGTTCTAGTTCTCTGCAAAGAACAAAATCTTGTTGGTAGGGGGTCAACACTGTATTCAAGCCTGAAAGGGGGCAAAGGGAGTCATCCAGAGCTTTTATCTGCATGCCTAGCATTTCTCAAGTTCAGAAAGGATCACTGTTTTTTCTATATATTTATTGTTACTCTCTCTCAAGAAAAGAAGCATGGAGGGAGCCTGGGTGGCTCAGTCGGTTAAGCGACTGCCTTCGGCTCAGGTCATGATCCTGGAGTCCCTGGATCGAGTCCCGCATCAGGCTCCCTGCTCGGCGGGGAGTCTGCTTCTCCCTCTGACCTCCCCCCTCTCATGTGCTCTCTCTCTCATATTCTCTCTCTCAAATAAATAAAATCTTTAAAAAAAAATTTAAAAAACAGAAAGGAAGCATTGAGTATCTATAATATACCACGCACTACAGTAGTACTCAATTAATTGCATTCCACTTAATTCTCATTATAACCCTATGAAGAAATGTTATAATTTTACTAATAAGGAAACAGGCTCAGACAGATAATTTGCCAAGTCTCAACACTAATAATTCACAAAACTGGGTTCAAAATCCAGGTCTAGCCTGACTCCGAAACTCTTGTTTTCTCATCAGTGCCACCCTGCTATCCAAGCTCATTCAACATTCTAAAGTTGCTCTTCCAGATTACTGAGACCTTCCAACCAGTGGCTAATAGTCATAACCCAGAGCCTAAAGATGCAGTAGCCTTAAGGAGGGCAGGAACAACATCTGCTCTGTTAATCCCTATATCCCCAGTTCTGTACCTCACATATAGCAGGCTCCTAACATATATATGTTGACTGCTTTTCCCTGAAGAAATTTAGTGATACTGACCCCATTCCAGTCCAGCTTGGAGTTCACATACCCTATTGGCCTGAAATGCGACCTAGCCATTGATGACAAGATTTGCTCTTATTGGGGCGCCTGGGTGGCTCAGTTGGTTAAGCATCTGCCTTCGGCTCAGGTCATGATCCCAGGGTCCTGGGATCGAGCCCCACATCGGGCTCCCTGCTCAGCGGGGAGCCTGCTTCTCCCTCTCCCTCTTTCTCTGCCTCTCCCCCCGGCTTATGCTTTTTCTCTCAAATAAATAAATAAAATCTTTAAAAAAAAAAAAGATTTGCTCTTATTATGGCCTACCCTGAGTTTTAGGACCAATTAAAACAGTTCAAAGAAACTTTTTTGAAACCTGAAATGCTATTACAGTAACAGGTTTTTGGTCTAGTAGTTACTGTTTTATTGTTCTTTTTCTTTGACCATGTAATAGATTTCTTCCCCAAATCTCCACTCTCCTCTTGCCCTGTAGGCAATGATTATAGAGCTGGTAATAAAATAGTTTGAGGCAAACACAATATGCTTTTCAAGTGGGACATAGCTCGTGTATTCTTGGCTTCCAATTCGGTGCCCAAAACAGAATGCCTCTGTTTCACATTTGGAAAATAGCTTTTATTTGTATATAAATACTGTTTTTCATAAAGTTGATTTCTAATCTATTTGTTAAAT